AGCTGGAGACGAGCTGCGCGGATCCAGTCGATCAACACCGCAGTGACCTCACCCTTGCTGCGCAAGGGGAAGACTGTGGTGTAACGCGAGTAGTCGTCAACCACCAGCAGGAAGTAGCGCTCCTGACCCTGTCCATGGACGCGGGCTGGGCCCCACACATCCATGTGAAGCGTCTGCAACGGGGCCTCTGTCGGAGGAAACTGGGAGGAGTGAGGGGCAGCACGCTGGCGCCCCTCGACACAGGGGACACAGGTGGGGCCAGGGCCCGGAGGAAGGGGAGGGAGAGACCGGGGAAGACCAGACACAAGGACTCGCGAGGCCATGCCTCTGAGCCGAAGCAGAGAGGGGTGGCCAAGGCGGTGGTGCCAGAGGAGGGTCTCGTGAGACAAACGACGGCACGAGCAGGGGGCAGACTCAGGACCAGACCTGGACGCTGCAGCAAACACCTGACCAGACGAAGTGACCCTACCAGACTCAGCACCTGGAGGAGAAGCAGTGGTCAGAGTGTACAGGCTCGACCCTGGCCGACGTGTAAACGTAGCCAGGTGGCGACCTGTATCCGCCTCCGTGCAGTGGGTCACCCGCTGACGAGCAGGGGTGAACTGGTGGACACCCGCATCCTGGAGGTCAGCACCACTCACCAAGTTCGTCGAGAACGAGGGGAGGTAGAGACCAGTCAGGGTGCCAGAGGGGGCCGCCGGACACGGGAGGACAGTGGAGAAGCGAGACAGGACAGGCCCCCCAGAGGGGTCAGCCAGGGACACCGCAACCGGCCGACTCAGCGGCGTGAGAGTGGTGCGGTCCCGAAAGAAGGAGCGAGATGCTCCAGAGTCAAGGGTGAAGGTGTGAGAGGCCGAAGCCGACACAGTACCTGAGAGGGCAGACTCACCAGCACCTGAGAGCACAGACGCACTGGCACCTAGAGCAGCAGCCTCACTAGTACCTGACGCGGCAGTACCAATGCCCGGGTCGGGCGGGAAACACCGGTAACAGTCATCCTCATCACTACCAATCGCAGCATACATAGCAGAGAGAATAGCATCAAAATCAAGATCATAAATAGCTACACCAGCCCTAGACAGCTCTCCCCAGCGGGGGATCTCAGCTGCCTCCGGAAACTGCTGACGCCAGGCGTCAGTCAGGCGGCCAAAGCAGCGGCGGGCAGTGTGGGCGCCTCCACACCTCTCCCCTGCACGGTCACCGGTGCGGAGAACGTAGGGGCAAGGACCAAGCGCACCACCACGCTGACGCTGCGAGTACCACTCACGGAGCTGCTGAGGGGCGGGGACGGTGCGAGAGCGCTGCTGCTGCTGTGGCTGCTGCTGCGGCTGCTGCTGCTGCTGCTGCTGGCGCTGACCACCCCCGGAGCTGCTCCGCTGGGACGAGCCACTCCGACCCCCGCCTCCACTGCCACCCCCGCCTCCACCGCCACCCCCGTCTCCACCTCCACCTCCCCCACCAGGACCGTCGCTCCCACCGCTCCCACCGCCTCCTCCGCTACCACCTCCGCCGCCACCTCCGCCTCCACCGCCGCCACCAGTACCTCCACTCCCGCCACCACCCCCACCGCCACCCCCACTCCCCCCGCCACCCCCACCGCCTCCTCCACCGCCCCCTCTAGCTCCACCCGCTCCCTTGCCCCCCTTGCCCTTGCCAGCGCGGCGTCTGCCGCTGGGGGCAGACGCCGCGCCGACCGACTCAAAACCAGTGAGGTCGGCCGCAGCGGCAGAGGCGACAGAGGGCAGCAGGGGGGAAGGACCACACCCCTCAAAGATAGGGGTGCGAGGGTCACCCCGAGAGGCCCCTACAGCGACAATACTCTTCTCAGCCGCTAGCAGGGACTCCTCAAGGAGGTCGACAGTGAGAGTGGTGGGACAGACAGAGAGAAACTGGTCCCTAACGACACGAAGGGACTCAGGGAGACGGGTGACGAGAAAGTAGAGAGTGATGTACATGGGAGGAGGGTTCGCAGCGCGGAACTCAGCAGGAAGGGCAGCGCGGTAGCGGGTGTCACTAGCACGGAGGTGGGTAACGAGGTCAGCGACAGTGGGAAAGGAAGCGAGGTCAGGGAAGAGAAACGGTAGCATGAGGCGGCTAAGGGTAGCGGAGGAAGGGGAGGAGTAGCGTGCAACTACAGCGTCGTACAAGGCCTGAGCGGTCTTGCACTGACTAAAGTGGGCACGCTCAGAGGAAGGGAGGTGGCGACGCACAGCAAGACGTGCAGCAGCATCGCGGGTCGCCCACTTGGAGCGAACGGCAGAGTCAGCATCAGCAGGTGGGGCAGGGACAGCGCCAGAGACAAAGTCAAAGAGAGAGACCTCATCTATCGCATCACACAGTAAGTACAGCTGCAGGTCTTCAATCCAGACGGCAAAGTCAATGGCCCTCCCCTCAGCGTCAAAGGTAAGAACATTGGGGGTGGCCATGACAGCAGCTGAAAATCTCACCGGGCTGGGAGAGGCGGGTAGGTCAGCAGCAGAGGAACAGCAGCACGGCTCCGCAGGCGGCTCGGGCGGCGCGGGCGGCTCGGCGGCGGCTCGGGCGGCGGCTCGGCGGCGGTTCGGCGGCGGCTCGGCGGCGGCTCGGCGGCGGCTCAGGCGGCGGCGGCTCGGCGGCGGCTCGGCTGCTGCTGGGCGGCGCGGGCGGCTCGGGCGTCACGGGCGGCTCGGGCGGCGGCTCGGCGGCGGCTCGGCGGCGGCTTGGCGACGGCTCGGCGGCGGCTCGGCGGCGGCTCAGGCGGCGGCGGCTGCTGCTGGGCGGATCGGCGGGGCCGCGTAGCAGAGTGGCGGCGGGGCCGCGACCGAAGAGAGCGGCGGGGCCGCTACCGAAGAGAGCGGCGGGGCCGCGTAGCAGGGGGCGGCGGGGCCGCGTAGCAGAGGGCGGCGAGGCAGCGTAGCAGAGGGCGGCGAGGCCGCGTAGCAGAGGGCGGCGGGGCCGCGTCCGAAGAGAGCGGCGGGGCCGCGTAGCAGGGGGCGGCGGGGCCGCGTAGCAGAGGGCGGCGAGGCCGCGTAGCAGAGGGCGGCGGGGCCGCGATCGAAGGGCGGCGGGGCCGCGTAGCAGAGGGCGGCGGGGCCGCGTAGTAGAGGGCGGCGGGGCCGCGTGGCAAAGGGCGGCGGGGCCGCTATCGAAGGGCGGCGGGGCCGCGTAGCAGAGGGCGGCGGGGCCGCGTAGCAGAGGGCGGCGGGGCCGCGTAGCAGAGGGCGGCGGGGCCGCGAGGCAGAGGGCGGCGGGGCCGCGTAGCCGAGGGCGGCGGGGCCGCGATCGAAGGGCGGCGGCGGGGCCGCGTAGCAGAGGGCGGCGGGGCCGCGATCGAAGGGCGGCGGGGCCGCTAGGGAAGGGCGGCGGAGCCGCGAGGGGAAGGGCGGCGCAACGGTCCGCTAGGGGCGACACGACGGGTCGCTAAAAAAAAAAACGCGCCTCGGGGCGCGGTTCGGTGGGCCCTAGAAGCAGTCCCTAGGAGGGAACCTGCTCTGATTCCATGTGGAAACAAAGAACGAGAATGGAATGACTATGAACGAAGTGAGTACAAATAGGAAACCCTAATTGGGTTGTACCCCCTATGGGAGACCCCACTATAGCCTACAGAAACAAGTAAGCTATAAGTTCTGACAGAGACAAGTCAGCACTCATCCTTGGGTCGATCCCTTACTGATCGTAACAAAGAACGTTACTAGTCGATAGAGCCTTTGGCTCAGTATTGTGCAAGGCAGGGGTTATTGTTATTTACATATGTAGCATGTACTTGGATGGCTATGTGCTGGCCCATGTGGTCGATCAAAAACGTTGCAAGACTAATTTTGAATGTACCTATTTAGCCTGTTGAGATTGCTAAACACACCAATAATTATTCCCTGATACGTATTTGATGTTTCCAGTTGATGAAAATAGAAACCCTGCATCGTATTGTTGGAGCTGGGCCTTCAGAGTCGTTGGCGATTATCACGTGATGCCTAAAGCGAATAAGCAACGGCTGCAAATAACATCGTGGGCACAACGTTGTGACGAATCAACAATGGTGATTGTGAGGCGAAAGAGTCACGATGCATCCACTTCACGATCGCCCGACGCAAATGGATGGCACTCCTGCGTATTGGAATCTTGGTGAGCATCTCGTGAGTCCCTCAACCAACCTCTATTACTCCCGACGTATTACACAGTTGGGCATTGCGGAACACCCTTCACCTGTGTGGATATTAACCCTAGCGAGGGGAAGCTGCAGATTTTTGTTTGGGATTTCCCCACTTGTTCTAATCATTTTTAATCCCCCGTAAATTGTATTGGTGTCCAGTAATACGTAAGGTATAGGGCTACGTATTGACCAAAATGCTCAGTTGATTGGAACACATGGGTAAACTTGAACTTCACGCTTAGGGGTTGACGTGAGTTTTACTGGTGTTTCACTAATACGTGGCGAGCGTACCGTTCGGCCAAACCGACCAATGATGACTGTACAGCCTGTGCCTCGTGGGCTGTTCACGCAATGCTGACTGCGCAGTTCCGGGTCGGTGGTGTGTCCGCGGTGAGTGTCGCGTGAGGCACTTTCATTGACAGAGCTTTGCCCCACGATCCTGTGACTAGGGGCTGACGGACCACACACAGCTGCTTTGCGGAATGTTGTTCGGGCTTTGCCCGATGACTAATGCTCGCTACTAAACCCAAAATCCTGATGTGATGATTTTAATACAATGAAGTCCTCTATCATGTTTGTATAGTACATGTAACGAGCCCATACCGTTGTTTAATGCCACAATATGCAAGATGATGGCAAACACTTCTACATGGGGCGTGGTCAACCTCTGGTGCAGATCCAATAGCGATCCAATGGTGAATTGGATCTTGAAGCAGAACGTATGCGCCAACACTATAGATTGTCATTTGAAGCATCAGATGCACTGTGCGTGCATTATGCTACTTAGAGCTACATGATCAGAGTGAACCCACAAAAGGGACGAAGCACACTCACGTTGCACGATGAGGGAGTTATCCCTAAAAGGCACGAACTAACCATCCTTAGATCCCGACCCCTCCTGATGAGATGCATACTCATGCCCAGAATTTCCACCAGCTTGCATTCGGGCGATTTTGTCGGCGCGAGCATCTGCTTCATCCAAGCTGGCTTTAATTGCAGCTCTCTTCTTTTCGTCCCTGCGCGTTTTCTCGTCCCACTTTGCCTTCGCTGCAGGCCAATACTTCCTCCACTCCTCCCACATGTGCCAGAACTTCATGCGGACCATCACCTCACACTGGTGTGCAGAACAATCGCTGAGCTTCGCCTTGTCGGCGGCGGTCAAGAGAATGAGCTCCCCACGCGTTGGCTTGTCAACGAACATCACGTGCGACGCTGCGGCTATCGACCTTGCCGCCTCTTCCTCCGTTCCAAAGTGGCTGTTGATGACGATCAGCGACTGAGATGCGCGGTCTAGGACGATCCTGGCGATCCCCTCGTCCTTATCCAGCTTCTTTGTGACGCCCGTCCACCCCCTTTTGCCGGGCACCTCACCGATCTCCCCTCCCTGGGTCGCGGGCGCCATAGATGAGGAGGCTGCAGGTGAGGGCAGTACATGTTGGGACCCCTGCATAAAACCGGGGAGCATGCTCGATAAACCGCGACCCTGAGACGCGGTTGTGTGACCTGGTTGGCTGTTGGTATCGTCGAGCACCTCATCAGAGGCGAGGAAAGGAGCAGAAGGATGCAGCGGGGGACGAAGCGTCGAAAAGGGCAGCTGCAGTAAGTCGCTTGGCTGTACAGTACCGGGGTAAACCGCGCTGGGAGGTTGATGTGCAAACCCAATCGGCCATGAATGAGCGGCGGATGAGGTGGCCACCTGCTGAATAGCGCCTGCATTCTGCGCAAACCCCACCGCAGATGGTGCGCGTACACCCTGCATATGCGCCCCTGGGTGAAAGGCAGATGGGGCAAAGAACTGTTCCCCCGAAGACCATACAGAAGAAGCCCTTTGAACATCAGGTGCCCTTGCAGTGCCTGCCGCCAAAACCGACCATTGCGTACCCTGGACCTCGGCTGCTGAAACACCTAAACCCGCGGCGCCAGTCGGAACACCGGATGCTGCCGTTGCGTGACCGGCCGATGCCGTCGGAACACCGGTTGCTGGACCTGCATGACCTGCGGCTACAGTTGGGAAACTCACGGCTGCACCTGTATGGCCCGTAGAGGCGGTAGGAATGAAGGCTGCTGCACCTGTCTGACCAGTCGGTACGGTAGGAACACTCCCTGCTGCATGAAGTGCACCTCGCAGACTTGATGCCGCTCCTGGCATACCCGATGCTGCACCTAGCTGTCCAACCCCTTGTGTCGAAGCACCGGCAGAGGCACCTGCCTGCCGCCGAGCAGATGGAAAAGCACCATCAGGTGCACCTGCCTGCGCCGCTGAAGCTCGCTGAGCACCTTCACCGTTCCCTGCCAGGCCACCTGCCGCTGTAGTAACACCTGCTGCAGAAACCAGCTGACCTTGCGTGGTGCTAGATGGGACGGCCGCGAGACCAGAGTGACCCGCCTCGGACTTGTGTGCACCGGGTGTGGCACCCTGGCCTTGGACAGTACATGGCGTCGTCGCGCAAAATGTTGGGCGCGCATGTGACGGAGCGGTGGTGGAAGCGTGGGGAACAGCGATCATGTTCACCGGAGCTTCCAATGATGCTGCGGGCGTACGATGGGGCGGAGGGGCTGCAGCGGTAGAGGTGGTGGGTTTGTCGCTGTTCAAAACCTCCACTAAACCCGTCGGCAGCTTGAACCCTGTCTTGGCAGCCATCCCCAGGACGGTCGTGAAGAGTGACGACAAGATACCCATCACTTTGTCGAGTCCCTTTTCTCCACTGTAAACGGAGTCTTTCAGAGACTCCATGTCTTCATGCAGGCCCTTCAGCTGTGCAGCATGAGACAACTGCTCCGCCGCCAAATCCTGGATGGTTGGCTCCTTTATCTCCTCAACTCCGCCCTCGCTATCACTCTCGTCCCCCCCGTGCTGATCACTCTGTGGGGGAATGTCGGCCCCCTTCAGTGCCAGCGATTCCAGCAGTGTACCTGCACCAGCCTCGCATATCAGATCCCGAATTTCGCGCCTGCATTTGGCAGCACTGTAACGAGGATGATTGATCCCTTCTTCCAGGCATTCGAAAGCTCGGCCCACAAGCTCCTTGGAGAACATACAGACGTAGACCCCGCAGTCCACACTGTTCTGTTGCTGGGGTACCTCGAAGTACTGCAGTACAAAACATAAGAGTAGTATCAAACACAGAGTAGACATGCGTGGTAAACCGAGTCCCGCATGTCTGTTGCATGAGGGCGGTAAACACGAGTGTGGCATACTCACTTCAAGTGCACGGCTGCTCACGCGTGAGACCCTCTCTGTCACAACCACCCACGGCATATCAGGGTTGGCCTTTTTAAGGGCCCTCATAAGCAGCCTGCGGAGGCATAACGAGAGAAAGGGGATCATGAAAGCGAGGAGTAGGCGTGGTGTTGATAACAGGTGTCACGCCACAACGAAAGAAGAATCACGATGAACTCACTCGTTGATGTTTGTGAATATTGCCTCGCACATGTCATAGTGCACGCGCGCGGAGTCGTACAATACAGCTTTTACGGGTACTCGTGGCTTCAATGCATCGTATTCCTCCTGACTAAGCAGCAGCAGACGGGGGTCCTTGACAACGACCAGGCTGAAATGATGAATAGGAACTCTGCAAACAAAGATTAAGCCCGGGAAGTATGGTTAGGCATGACACGGAGTGGTAAAGCCGGTTCTGGAATACCATCTCCATGACTTCCATAATGTCTGAAACTCTTACTTGGTGAAAACCACGATGCAAAGGTAGTCGTGCTCGAAGAGAAGTTTGCAATCGACGCCGCATGCTAGCTCCTATCCCCCGGTGACGGTTTGGTAGGCGAGCGTGTCAAGAGCCAACCAAGTTTTCCCGTCGTGTAACTTTTTGTGATAAAGGCTCAAAACCCTGGAAGAATACGTACAATACACGTCATGTACACGATGAAGAGGATTAAGTAAAACGAGGCACACGCTGAACGTGACTCACACGTGGTAAAAGTCGATGGTTGACGTTGTCAGCTCGTATCCATCCTGTATGTGGAGGGCATCCATCATAGTCACCTTCGCTCGCTGGTCGTGATGGTTTTTAATCTCACGGGAGGGGAAATGGTCACTCTTAACCGACCTAGGTAGCTTATCGGTCGCGCAGTCTGGAACTCTGACTCCCTTAGCGAACCTCGATATTATGTCGTCTGGCTCGGGGAGCACTTGCACGCCTTCTAAATTAACGGGGACCTTGAATTCAGGGGACGGAGCCGGCTTACTAGCGCTCCGGTTTGTTCGTCTCCCCCGCGCGACGGGTGCCTGGCTACTAGCAGGTGGGTGGCCCTTGGCGCGTGCGGCCAGCCTAGTTTGCGTCATGGTGCAGAGGCGGATTTAAGACCAACAATGGAGATGAGTATGCTGTGCTACGAATCATGGGTGAATGAAAAGTAAGAGGAACAATGGTGGCCGCTCAAAGCCGCCAATACTCTAGGCTCACGAGATGGTGGTAATGTGCTCACGAGACGTTGACGGCGGGGAAGCCGAGGAGAAGTAATGACGAAGGAAGGACAGACTGTTGCATTGTGGATGCAACGGTGCTTAACCCGCCCAGTGAAGTCCAAGGTGGCACGCTGTTATTGACTGGAACCCTGACATTGAGGGTTCTCGAACATCACGCGAGGCAACTTCGTGCACGCGTCCTGTGCAAGATATTTCCGTGGCAATTTCATCATTGCCACCGCTGCTTGCTCAGCTGAGGTGGACAGCGCATAGATAAAGACGAAGTTGTAATGATTTGTGCAACCTTACCAAAAAAAAGTGCGCCTGACCACGACATCACTGAAAGTGTACTAAAGTCATTTTTAATGGGGAAAACTGACCGCGGGAATCGGGCGCGGTCGCGTGGGGGGGGTAGTGGGAAAACCACTGCCCGTTGGAATTGGAGACGAGCAAGCACCGCGGTTCGTCATTTCCTCCGGGAGCTTCCTCGCTTGGCGGAGTGGTGGGAGGGACCCGCGCTACGCGGGACAGACTCGGCATGTCGGCGTGATCGAACCGCCCGGTTTCTCACTTGGCCCCACATTTGTGGAGTCAATGATCCCCCAGGGGCACCGCTCGCCTACAGCCATTGTTTCATTGGCTTGGCAGGCACCGGCCGTCAAATCCCCCTGCCCGTCCGTCTGTTCTTCCCAGTCGCACGCGAACAAGTGCAGCCCACCGAACAACACCAATGGCCCATGAACCACCAAGCCAGGCCTAGCCAAACCACTTTCCCCCTAGCCGCAATGGGACAACTACAAATAGTGCCCGCATGCAAGGCTTTCTCCAGATTATATTCCTCACACAAGTTCCCTACAGAGTCCCCTACATTACAAGGCTCTATGTAGCAACCTTTCATCAACTTCCGGAGTATCTCTAGCATCGCTCCTTATATCTGCCATCTCGCTGATCAACTGGACAGCTCTAGCTGTGGGAAGTCAACGTTGCCTGTCTGAATCTCACAGCATCTCCCAACAACGCGACGCCTCGTGCACTCCATAGCCACGCAGATCCTATTATTTGCTAACTGCAGCACCGAAGCTTTCATGGCTATTTCGCGCTCACATACGTTTCTCATCGCGGCGCTGCTGCTGCTCGCCGCTTGCCGCGCGGACGCAGCGCCGACGGTGGCGCAATTCCGGGCGGAACTCAACGCGCTGAAGGCGGTGTTGGCCAAGACGAAGGAATTCTCGGCGTTCGGGAAAGGCGTCGATAAAATGCGTGAGTACTGCTCCCTTCGATTTTCTACTGCGAGTCGTCGCTTCTCTTATAAGTGGACCCTTTCTCCCACGCTCTCAGTTTGAGCGCATATGGGTCGTTCGGTTAGGGTTTCTTTTGAGTGATGAGCCGAGGCACACAAACATACTATGTTTGTGCAAGTGCAGATACTGGCCACAAATCAGACACGTCCCGTGACACCGCCTCGCCAGCTCTCGCCTATCCACTCATCCTCTCCTCTCCCTTCTCTCCCCCTCAACCCACCCCTCCCTCTCCCCTTTGGACAGTCAAGTACCCCGACGCGCAGCTGCCGCAGCTGTTCAACACGACGCTGCTGGTGCCGACGAACAAGGCGGTGTACGGCGTGGGGATCAAGACCCTGCAGAACACAACGGCCATGGAGGCCATCGGCAAGTTCAACGTGCTGCAGCGCCAGTTCACCGCCGCGCAGCTGCGAAACCTCAAGCCCAACACGCCGCTGCGCACCAAGGCGCCACCCTCCGACCTGCTGCAGCGCTACCCCTCCGTGGGCGCTAATGCTGGCAAGGCCGTGCTGGGCCCGCGCAACGCGACGGCTGCCGTGCAGGGGGTGGTGCTCTTTCCCGATCTCTACTCGGGCAAGTTCCTCAAGGCGCATGGCCTCTCCGTGTTCTTCCGCCCCAAGGGCTACTGACTGCTCCTCCTAAGGGCTACTGACTGCATCTCCCTAAGAGCTACTGACAGCGCCGCCCCTGCCACGCGAGGTTGACGGGGTAGTGTAACTAGGAGGGTTCCCTGGAGCTGACCCAGTTAGGTTATATTCATTCTGCCTGGTGTCAGAGCCTTGTGTCAGGAGGGTATGGTTTGGAAGTCCTCCCTTGGCCACACTGGTACGGTACCGCATGAGGCCAGTGGCAAGGCTGGACCGTCATCCTGACACAATGCTCTGACACTAGGGTTAGTTAGGCCCTCTGTACATGCATGCCATTTTGACAAGTTGAACGAGTCTGCAAAGTTATTCCAAAGGAAGTGCTGGCTTTTCTTACCCTCACTCACGTGGGAATGCCTGGCTCTGAGGGAATGCATGGCTGGCTTTGAGGTAATGCATGGCTGGCTTGGAGGGAATGCATGGCTGGCTTTGAGGGAATGCATACAATTACGGTAGAATGCTTTGGTAACACTGCCACTAAGAAACCTTGTGGTACCCATTACAGCCCACAGGTGATGCTCTCCCATTCCATTCCAGCACTGTGCACCAGTGGTACCGACCCGAAGAACATATCTTCCCAGTAGATAGATTTTGTTACATAATACAGTACAGAATAATGAATGCGTTCATGTGCTGCACGATGTGACAGCGTCAGGAAAGGATGTGCATGCATAATGATGGCACGGGCCGGCGTCGTGGCACATGGCAGGGTCACAGGCCAGGAGGTTGCAGGGAGTGCGGGGGCAACGTGGAGAGGTTGAGAGGCAGCGAGATAACAGCGCTCTGGGCGGGGTTCATGCGGCTCCTCTGCTCCCATGAGTATTTGAGTCGACTCAAATTGGCACAGAGTGGAGTGGTCACAGGCCAGGCGGTTGCAGGGAGGGCGGGAGCAACGTGGAGAGGTTGAGAGGCAGCGAGATGACGGCGCTCTGGGCGGGGTTCATGCGGCTCCTCTGCTCCCATGCCTCCCACCACGGCCCTCCTCCCACCTCCACTGCTGCTGCTGTGCTCTCCGCCCTCAGGAGCAACTGAAGGGAGGAGGGGGAGTGAGGGATGGCATAGGGGGATTCTATTAACATACAATGGAGAATCCACCGCCTATCAGTCCAGGGGTTTCTGCCTTGCTCTATGTCTCTAGGAACAAGTGGTGGGAGTGGGGGAGGGGGGGTAATGGCCTGCGGGACGTGCAGCAAGGGAAACATTGTACAAATGGAGAAAAGCTATTTGTTTCAAGGACCTCCACCCCTGCTGAAGTGTTTTGTGCTATTGAAAGTAACTGGTGGGAGCATGAAGGGACACTACGGCATGGGGAATTCTTAAGAAGGTAAAATTAACACTTTAAAGGTGCTGCCTTGCTGCTGTCCGTGGCGCCAGGAGAAGCTGGTGGGAGTGGGTGGGAGGCGGTTAGATGAAACGATTGAGAGATGTGCAGAAGAGTGATAGTTTTGTGACTTGTACTGTACTCTTTCAAGGCGCTCGATGCTCTCTGCCTGCTACTCTTTCTTAGACGCCTCAAAAACAAAGTGACAGTTATTCGGCCCACTGTTGCCTTAGTTTCCAGACGTCTCAAAGTCAGCACGACAGTTATTTTGCCCCCTGCTGTCTCAGAGTGGAAACGTACTCGTCCAAAGGGTGCAGTTCCCTCTGCTGCTGCGCTACACCTACCCGTGGCCGTAAAATACACGGGCATTGAGAGGTGGGGTAGCAAGGGAGAAGAAAAGAAGACGCGAGTGATCCAGATGGGGAATGACCATACCAGCTGCAAGCACGGACGCATCTCTCCATGCATCGATAAAGCCTCACATGCCCCACCTGCCCCGGGTACCCACCTTCCCTGCCTCACATGCCCCACCTGCCCCGAGTACCCACCTGCCCCGAGTATCGCTGGCGCAGCTCCAGCTTGACCCGGCCGTCAAACGAGTCCTTGCAGAAGAACCTCATTCCCTCCGCTGTTGGCGCTCGCAGAGGCGTGCCGTTATCGCCCGGGAGTGTGTGCGCCTCCACTGTCACCTGAGAGGGGGAAAGGAGCGAACAGGGGGTATAAGGGCAGGTGGGGGGCGTGTGAAGCTGCCCGTCAAACAAGTCCTTGCAGGCGATTCTCATGGCCTCTTGCGGCGATTCTCATGGCCTCTTGCGGTGATTCTCATGGCCTCTTGCGGCGCTGCATAAGTCCTCGCAGAACAATCTCATGCCCTCCGCAGACAGTGTTGCTTCTGAGAATTCTCAAGAACCGCATATCCTCAACTGTCGGTGCTCGCAGGGGCATGCGGCTGCCACCTGGTAGTGTAGTGTGTGCGCCTCCACTGGTACCCGGTAGAGGGGAGGGAGTCAACAGGGGGATAATGACAAAAACGTTTGGGGGGCATGTGAAGTTGCACAGTTGCGCAGCAGCGTGTGAAGTAGCAGCGTGAAGTAGCAGCGTGAAGTAGCAGCGTGCCCACTGCCCTGGTCGCGCAGCAGTGTGTGTGTTTGCACAGTTTCTTGGGGAGATGGTGGGGAAAGCGATGAGGTGATGACACAAGTCGCCACTGCCCGCTGTTTGCAGTGGGGGGCGTGCAGTGGGGGGCGTGCAGTGAGGGGCGCACAGGGAGGGGCGTTGAAAATGAAAGTGAAAGAAACAACTAACTCACTCCTAAATCTCACCTCATTCCACTCCTCCTCACCTCTCACTGCTCGTCCCACCTCGTACCACTCTCCCTCGCCTCACACCACTCCTCACCTCCCCCACTGCCCTTTCTCACCTCACACTGCTCCTCCTCACCTCACACCATTTCTCTCCATCTAATACTGCTCCTTCTCACCCCACAAAATTATCCTCACTGCACACTCCTCCTCACCTCATACTGCCCATTCTCACCCCACACCACTCCTTCTCACCTCGTACTGCTCGTTGTGAGCGTGCATATGCCAGCTGCCCCACGGCTGCACCTTCCACTCCACGGCGCCCCTGTTGGGTACAAACTCGATGAACTGCCCCTGCCAGTGCAGCCCCACCTGTATGCAAACAGAACCACAGAGGAGGCGGGTATGTGGGGATTCTAAGAGGGCCTCAAGGAAGGGAGGAGTATGGGAGTGACTGGCACTCCACCACCCCTCTGTTGGGCTCAAACTCGATGAACTGCCCCTGCCAGTGCACCCCCACCTGCATGCACAGCATCCAGAGTAGCGGATAAAGGGACCTTCCAGGGGGACTTAGAGAAAGGGAGGGATTCGTGGGACGGGCCACTCCACCACGCCCCTGTTGGGCACAAACTCAATGAACTGGCCCCGCCAGTGCAAGCCCACCTGCCATGGAAACAAAGGCAAGAGAAGGGTTGGCAAGAACTTCTGAGGTGCCTGGAAGAATGGGAAAGGTTAAGGTGGGGAGGAGGGGGGCACTCCACCAGACCCCTGTTGGGCAGAAACTCTATCAACTGCCCCTGCCAGTGCACCCCCACCTGGCACGCACAGCCTGGAGGGAGGGGGGCGAATATTCGGACCTTTGAGGGGGGCGAATAGTGGGACCTTTGAAGAAGGAGAATAGTGGGACCTTTGAGGGGGACGAATAGTTGGACCTTTGAGGGGGGCGAATAGTGGGACCTTTGAGGGGGGCGAATAGTGGGACCTTTTAGGGGCGCTCAAGGAAGGAGGTATAAGAGGGACGGGCCACTCTACTGCGTTTATGAGCCCACCTCTGGCAGGGGAAAGAAAGATAATAAATGGCAAGAGGTGGGTTCTTTCGAATACCACGACACGGCTAAAGCGTCAGAAGTTTCACGCGTGGTTTTCGGGGTTGGAGTCTCTGAACCCTGCAAGTTCCTCATTCCTGCACAATTCCCCGCGGCATCCCAGATAACGAAGAAATCCGAAGGCATGAAGTGGGGGGAGGTGGTGGCCATCCTGTCAAACGGTTCGGAAGAAGAGATTAAACCCTTCCCACACGACTTTCCCCCTAGCACAAGCCTTCCTCCCCTCCTCTGACCGCTCCCCGCCGTGCGTGGTAGCGGCGGCGCTGGCAGCCATGGCACGGGCTGTGGACGCAGGCAACATGCACCATAGCAGGGCTGCCATACCCATACATCCTCAGCTCACTGCCATGCTATTCTGCAGTCATCAGCTCTTCTTCCTCCCGCCTCTCCTCGGCACTTTCCTAAATTCGACAAACAGCCATTTAATTTCTTCTTCCGAATCGTTTGACAGAATGGCCACCACCTCCGCCCACTTCATGCCTTCGGATTTCTTCGTTATCTGGCATGCTGCGACGAATTGTGCAGGAATGAAGTACTTGCAGGGTTAAGGGACTCCAAACCCGAAAACCACGCGTGAAACTTCTAACGCCTTGCCAGCTGTGTCGTAGTTTCGAAAGAACTCACCTCTTACCGTTTATTAACTGCCCCTGCCAGTGCAATCCCACCTGCCATGCACAGTATGGAGGGGGTGACTAGAAAGGGAGTTATAAGGGGGACGCGCCACTCCACAGCGCCTCTGTTGGGCACAAACCCTATGGATTGCTGTGCTGTGCACGCCCACCTGCCATGCACAGCACACACAAGAGTAGAGGAGAATGTGGAGGGTTTAGGAGGGAGGGCCACTAGGTCACGCCATTACGATTAAGTGGAAAGAGCGTCAAGAGAAACGATTCCACCATGCCCACCTTCGTCTCACCAAGCCCTCTCTATCTCACCATGCCCCACCCCACCATGCCTCACCATGCCCACTTCCTCTACGGAGTTGGCCAGCAGAGGCAGGTTGACCTGCCGCTTCGCCCCCGCCACTGTGAGCGCCCTTTTGAGGCACCTCAACCATATACCCCTGCCTCTCTCTCAGCATACTCCCGCGTCTCACCATGCCCACTTCCTCAACGGAGTTGGCGAGCAGGGGCAGGTTGAGCTGCCGCTTCGCCCCCGCCACTGTGAGCGCCACTGCGGACCCCAGTGACACATGCGACCACACATTGCACTGGATCTGGTGGGAGAGGGTGTAAGGGGGAGGGAAAGAGCGTGCAATGTGGGGAGAAAGAGGACCAAAGAGAGCCACTGCGGACCCCAGTGGCACGTGCGACCACACATTGCACTGGATCTGGTGGGGAGAGAGGGGGCTAAGGAGGCGGGAATCGGAGAGAGAATAGGGAAGGGAAGAAGAGGTGGGAAGCAGTGGATGGCACGGATAGCTTGCGGAACTGTGATGTGAACGATGCATCAAACTGCCCACAGTGAAGCATGCATCAAACTGCCCACAGTGAAGCATGCATCAAACTGCCCACAGTGAAGCATGCATCAAACTGCCCACAGTGAAGCATGCATCAAACTGCCCACAGTGAAACATGCATCAAACTGCCCACAGTGAAGCATGCATCAAACTGCCCACAGTGAAGCATGCATCAAACTGCCCACAGTGAAGCATGCATCAAACTGCCCACAGTGAAGCATGCATCAAACTGCCCACAGTGAAGCATGCATCAAACTGCCCACAGTGAAACATGCATCAAACTGCCCACAGTGAAGCATGCATCAAACTGCCCACAGTGAAGCATGCATCAAACTGCCCACAGTGAAGCATGCATCAAACTGCCCACAGTGAAGCATGCATCAAACCGCCCACAGTGAAGCATGCATCAAACTGCCCACAGTGAAGCATGCATCAAACTGCCCACAGTGAAGCATGCATCAAACTGCCCACAGTGAAGCATGCATCAAACTGCCCACAGTGAAGCATGCATCAAACCGCCCACAGTGAAGCATGCATCAAACCGCCCACAGTGAAGCCCCACGTACCAGAGAAGCTCAGGTGCCTCAGCCTCTATGCCTACAGAACAGACTTCAAACCCGCAAGCCAAATTGTTTGAGGTTAGGGCGAGAGACATTCCCAAAACGCAAATCCGAAAGCTCCCCTTGAATGAAAGTGTATCGCACCCAGAACCACTTGAGGGGGAAGGCGCCGCCCCAGTTCTTCTCAGAGTAGGTGACGGCGTCTGTGAACTCAATGCGGTGCCCCTGCCACTCCACCCACCCACTCGCTCGCCCCATCGCCATGCACACCTGCACGGGGGGAGGGGGGGGTGCATGGCAGGGGTATGAATGATGGGTGGAGAGGGGTGCAGGGGGGTATGAGGAGGTGATGGCCTCGCACCAGTTCTTCTCAGAGTAGGAGATGGCGTCTGCTTTTGAGGCGCCACAAAAGTAGGCGTCTGTGAAGTCCATGCAGTGCCCCTGCAGGGAAGTCGACTCAAAAGTGTCTGAATTCTATGCGGTGCCCCTGCCACTCCGCCCGCCCACTCGCTCGCCCCATCGCCATGCACACCTGGGTGAGGGAGTTGGGGGGGGATGTACGACGGGAGGTATGATGAGTGGGGAGGGGTGCAGGGGGTTATGAGGAGGCGAAAGGGTGATGGCAAGGTAGCAAATCAGCTGCCACATCAGCTGCATCCACAAATGCAGTCTCTTCAGTCAATTGTGAAAAACAACCCGTGAGACTTCCTGAGCCTACTTCCCTCCCACCTCACATCTCAGACTGTCGCCACGTCACCCTCACCTGCCAGTGCGGTTCAAAAGCTGGCAGGGCAGAGAGCCAACCAGCAGTTGACAGCTGTGTGCCGCCCCTGGGGCCCCAGCCATCGATGGGCGTCACCTCATAGCGCCATCGCACTATGCTGCTCGGGAGAAGAGTGGGAAGATAGAACAGAAAGTTGGCAATGGAGTTTTGAGTATGGCATAGCGTGATGTAGCCAAGCAGGAGGGAAGGGATGATGCCCTGAGAGGCCAGTGGGATTGTGGGGAGGGAGGGAGGGAGGGAGGGAGGGGGGGAGGGAGGGAGGGAGGGAGGGAGGGAGGGAGGGAGGGAGGGAGGGAAGGAGGGAGGGAGGGAGGGAGGGAGGGAAGGAGGGAGGAAGGGAGGGAAAAAAGGGAGGGAGGGAGGGAGGGAGCAATGATGCCCAGAACTCGTGTGCAGGCAAGGCAAGCAGGGGGCAGGTGAGCAGAGAGCAAGCTTGTTCTACCACCTGAATGGCGTGAGAGCACTCAACCATTACCAGGCGCAGCAGCAGCACCAATGCACCATCACCACCGCCATCACTATCACCATCACCAACACCATCACCATCACCAACACCATCACCATCAGCATCACCAACACCATCAGCATCACCAACACCATCAGCATCACCAACACCATCACCATCACCATCACCATCACCATCACCATCAGCATCACCAACACCATCACCATCACCAACACCATCAGCCTCACCTGCCATCATCTTGGTTCTTGAGCGTGCCTTGGTGCAGGAACGGCGTCACCTGAAATCCATACTGCACCCTTGCCTCAAACTCCTGTTGTTCACAAGATACATGTGAAGAAAAGGCATGCATGATTTACCATAGCAGCAGCGAAAGTAGCCCTCACGCGCCTACAGCAAGCTCAATAACCACCATCCACACAGCAGCACACAACACCACCCATATCTTCTGAGGCGCCAGAACATACATAACCGAATCACTGACACTCCCACCCACATGTGCGTTCCCTCCCAAGGCCAAACCCAGTGGATGCCCCAACCCAGTCAACCACGCTCGCCCAGCTCTGACCAGATCCACATATCCAATACTCACTCTCACTCCCTGCTTTGACTTTCCCTCTCGTCCGTGCCCATCCCCTCCTCCCCCTCCCCAGCCCACTCCAAGTGCCAACTGCAGTGTAAGCAGTGTGTGTGTGTGCCTCTCTCTGACTTCTAGTGTGTGCTGCGAATGGGAAACAATTTTGACAATTCTCAAAAGCGAATGTGGTACCAATGTGGTCTTAACTGACATATTGACGTAAAGCACAGTTGTGCCATATGGATGTGGTGAAAACATGTGATATAAGTATGTGGTTTAGGCAGAGAGGGGAAGGTAATACATGAACATAGCACGGGAGAAGAGGGAGGGATGGAAAGTACAGGAAATATGTTCTGTGACAGCTGTCAAAAACCCCTCTTCTGTGGCATCCCCTGTCTTGCCCTCTCCTTCCCGTACTTTCTATCCCTCCCTTCTTCTCCCGCGCTATGTTTCTGTATTACCTTCCCTTCATGTATTACATATGGATTTGTTACAAGGGTTTCGTATACATATGTGGTATAGCTGTGCTATGAGTGTATGTGACACGAACATGAGTTATTAAGACGTGCTTTATAATATGCAACAGGGTATACATATGTGGCATCAATGGGTGGCATGCAAATGGGCGTACACGCGTGGCATACACAATATACATGAATCTGGAAATCATCACCACCCACCCACCTGAGGCGGCACCTCCCCCAGGGGCGACACGTGCCCCTCCCTGGGCTGGAAACACGCTCCCAGCGCCAACTCATGCCGCACTGCAGGGTGTTGGGGAGAGGGGGGAAGGGGGGTTTGCGCGAGGGGGAGACGGAGCGAGGGGAAAGGGAATGGACCGGGAAGAAGGGGATGGGGCATTGACATGAGATGTGCGAAGAGGGGACGATGGGGGCTGGGAAGGGTTGAGCGAGGTATGGACGGGCAGGACTAGGGTAGGTGCTCAGGGACAGTGGGAGAGGAGGAACCAGGAAACAAGACGAAGAGTGGGGCCGGGCCGGGCCGGGGAGGGGTTGTATTTCCGACAGATATAAGACCTCCCCTCTCCGTCCTCCACCTCGCTCACCTCCCCAGAATCGTCCCGTGTCCGCCGTTTGTTGATACACATAGTCCCGCGCATCTCCCCCGCCCTGCGCGCCCCCGTCACCGCGCCCCCACTCCGCCTGCCTGTCCACCGCCGGCCCCATCGCCTGCATCATCACGCACGGCAGGCCCCCCTTCGCGCGCTCCGCCTGCTCGCCGGCGGGGGAAGCGGATGGCGCTCCGGGGGAAGCCGCGGAGGGGGCTGCGGGGGGCGGAGCGGAGGGATTTTCAACGGAGTACATCCATGCGAACGAGTCGCGCGAGTTGGGAAGCGACACCTTGAAGTACCACCCCTCGAAAAATGGCTGATCAGCGCCGCCGCCGCTGCTGCTGCTGCCCGGCGCGTAGTGGTACCCACTGTGCGGCGTGCGGCTCGGCCGCGTCACGGCGGGCGACGCTGGCGACGGCGACGCGGCGGAGCTGCTCGCCCTGGGCGACGTCGCCGGCGTCGTAGGCGACGGTCTGGAACCAGCTGATCGTGCGGAATGCTCGACCGCTCGCTGCAGCGAGTTCTGGCGGCGCAGTGCGGGACGGTGGCGGCAGGAAACGATGCTCGGTGCAGTGGCTAGCCGCCTTGAAGTTGCCGCAGGGGCGCAGGTAGCGGCTGAAGCGGCGGCCGGCATGGCGAGTCGTTCTGGCAGCACGGAAGCGACAGAGGGCGACATGGAAGGCGAATTTATTAATCACTGTGTTTCGCGTACAGTACTGCGCTTATCAACAACGACGAGCAGGGTGCCTCTTGTTGAAACTGCAATTCAAGCCAGAACTTGCGGACCAGGAATTCCTAAAGCTATTTCTCCTACACTTCAGCGAACTCGGTCCCACGGATGACTTCGTCACCTGTAATCAAGTAACCCCTCGCTAATCTGACCACCCCTTTGTGCCCTCGACCTCGAGTGTCACGAAAGAAACGGCTACAATTGTCCCACGTGGCTCGCGATACAGTTATTGGCAGGACACGAAGCGTCGCCTGGGCACCGTGCCACCTCACTCACCGTACATTCACCGACAAGAAAGTGTTCTCTTTAGGTCGTCTCTCCAGCAAGTGTCAAGAGAGGCTAGTGTCAAGCGGGGAATGCGCTTGACACCAGGTCGGGTCGCTCCCATGCGCGGCTCCAGGTTGGTGTCAATGTTGCCAACATTGAGCGAACCTCCAGCGATCCCCATCCCATCCCCTCGTGATCCAGGCGACCCCCCGCACGACCGAGAATTGACCCTGCACGACCGAATATTGACCGCCAACTGCCTCCAACCGGCAGCACTCACGTCCGAATTTTAACTTGCCGCAACACATCCTCACCAAATGCACGAACGCACCACCCGAACCCCGCTACCCGAAGTTCTACGTGACTTAAACACGCAGAACCCTCACCTCGTGCAAAGACAAAAACCAACGTCGTGAGGTATTCCACTAAAATTAACCACGTAATAGCTCTATGCGATCCACTCTAAATTGGCGAAGGCATATTACATCATGGACCCGAAGGTCGCCACTGCGCTTCTAGCTGTAATGCAACATTGGTGTGCGTATTATACTCTCATCTTCATCCCCATGGTTGCTGCAGCAAGCGAGCAATGGCTACTCCAGCAATCTGCCGTCAGTAACAACGTCGAACCCGTGGACGAGGGAGCTGCGCGTCTAGCAAAAGAGCGCCGTGATGTCCGCCGCCGGCGCCGCCTGACACGCATCATGGAGTGGCAGGAGGATCTGCGTGTAATGACTGACGCCGAGTTCCAGAATGTCTTCCGCATTACCCGCGATATCCTGCACTACATCTCTGACGCCATGCAAGTCCCTATGTCTCAATTTGTGGACCGCCATGACATCCCTATTCAACTCTGTATACTTATTCCTATCAAGTATTTTGCATCAGGTTTATCATATGTAGACTTGGCACTAATTTTTGGCATTTCAAGTGCATTACTGCACAGATTGGTAGACGCTTTCTTACTGCACTTTCCGCGGCGCTTCAAACGCGAATGGGTCAAGTTCCCACCACCAGAGGCCCATGCAGCCATGGCAGCCGAGTTCCGGGCGGTGAAAGGAGTTCCAAACGTGATTGGCGCCATCGACGGCACCCATATTCAGATACGGGGTATGGAGGGGCACAGGCAAGAATATTATAACAGAAAGTCACACTACTCGGTCCAACTGCAAGTCACATGTGATGCCAAGGGCATGATTTGGGACTATAACGTCGGGAATCCAGGATCTAACCACGATCAATGCGTTTTCATGCAATCCACACTCTCCGCAAGGCTGGAGAATGGAGAAATCGCTCCTTACCAGCTGGTCGCCGACGCGGCTTACCCTTTGCGCGACTACTGTCTTGTCCCGCTGCACGCACCAAGGAAACGGTTGATGAAGAGATGGGAGCAGAGCTTCAACAAGGTGCAATCGGCCACCCGGATGGTGGTTGAACGTACTATCGGCGCGCTGAAGAACCGGTGGCGGCTATTCGGCAGACGCCACGAATGCAAACTCTGGAGGGTGTGTGCGGGAACTGCATGTATCATTATTCTGCATAACATGCTCACCAGCATGGGAACGCCGAGGATGAGAACTGGAAACCCACGGGCATCCTTCTGGAACACCCATGGCAGCCCGTGGTGGACACGTTCCGGCATGTCAACATATGTCTGGCCAGTGCTATCAAGGGCTACTGCAGCTGCGCTGAAATCACGGCGCAAACACTTCGGAAAGCACATTCATCGTGCTTACCTACGTCGTCATCGGGCTCTCCGAGCTACAGCGGCTGCGTAGATGGCCCAGGGTTGGCATCGTTGCGCGTCTCTGGTGCGGAGAACAGTGGGCGCTGCGTGGGCGGGTGCAGGGGTCTGCCATTCCCATCTGCCGTTGCATTCTCCGGACGGGCAGCACTCGCAGGCGGAGGCAAGCCATGTGCAGCCAGGGTCATAGCCGCCACCACAAATTGGGCCATTTGGTTCAGTTGCTGCAGGCCTTCCTTCGTGCAGGCGACAATGGTGTCCGAGATCATGCGTGCACCACCCATGGTTGCCGTCTCGTCTACGCGACGCCTTGTTGTCTTTCCCGGCGTGCCAGCTCCTGTGATGGTCGTGTTAATTGAGGGGGGCGATGAAGAAGGAATTTAGGCGCCTATGTGTATGTGCCAGGGAATGCATGGTCGTCTTGTTCTGGGTTTATTACGGGAATAAAACACTCTACTGGTAGCATGCGCCACACTAATTCCAGACTTACCTGAAGCGGCGGCCATAGGAGCAGGTGTGCCTGACGGACCAGAACTGTCGTCGTTTGGGCCGGGAATGTACGCGTTAGGGTCCACGTCAGTCACGCCCGCTCCTCCGCCATCCACCACATGCGGCCTAACGGCCGCCGTGCCATGCTTGAGGTTCAGCACATATTCCCACCATCGTGGCTTCTTTGTTGCTTTGTTACCAGATCCCATGTCCTTGCGGGCCAGCTTGCGGTAGTCCGCCATAATGCGCTTCCAGGCCTGCTTCATAGGCTCGCTCTCGCGATCCCATCCCGGGTTTGCCTTCTTCATATGTTTCCGCAGTTTCTTCCAGTACTGCGATCCTTGTTTCCCTTTCAGTGCCTTTATGTCGTCTCGGGTGTTCCAGCGGGCCGCAGCCAATTCCACAAGCTCCTCTGGAGCCCACTCTGTATTGTAGTTGTTGTCCGTCTTCGCGCGGGACTTGCGTCGGGGCCGTTTTCGCCCGGCTGCAGCTCGAGTCGTCGCGTCGCCATCTTCGTCATCCCCGTCCTCGCTTTCGTCTGCGTCACTGTTGTCCGAATCTGCCTCGCTGTCACTCGATGACACTATCTCCTCGAGCTCGTCAGAGTCGACGTCAGAGTCTGCGTCGATATTTTCGGCAGCGCCGTCCTCGTCGTGGGCGATGTACGGCGCGGATGGTCGTGGGGCGTCGGCAGCCTCGTTCGCGATGCGTGGGCGAGCTGCCCCTTTTGCTTCCTGCGCTTTCATCCAGACGACGTAAGGGGGATCAACCCACGGCTTCTCCTCATCCGCCCTCTGCTTGCCTTTCTGGCTGCTTTTCTTGCGTGGCGGCATGCTGGATGGAGGATGTGACGATGGCAGCGTTGGTTGTTCAATTGGAGGTCACTTCGGGGTTGTGATGTTCAGATCTGTGTTGGTGTGTTCGTACATGCCGAAGTGTGTTCACAGATCTAGTGTTGCAGGCAGTTGGGCCAGTGGTTGTGTTTCCAATTCCCGCAGCGAATTTTAACGGTTTTGGTTGCACAAGACTGGCGGGCGCGCGAAAGATGTGTATGTGCGATTGGGGACATTTGCAGGTGTTTGGGTGGTGTGCGATTTGTCAGAAGTCGCAGGGGGGGGTTGCGATGTGTCAGGTCAACTTCCTGAGATACCACTTCTTGACACCAGGAGGTCTAGTCCTCCAACCGGTGTCTCGGTTAGTGTCATGACACTAGCCTCTCTTGACACTTGCTGGAGAGACGACCTTAGGACGGTTCTGATATAAAAACGGTTGCATAGGTTAGCGAAGCGAAATCAGAAAACGTTTGTCGCTATCCTCATTTATACCTTCATACTGGTAAAACAACGACGTTCCAATTGAAAGCTCACCACCATCTTGACTAGGCACGAATTCCCTCAGTGCTGCATTTGATTCTCAGGTTAACTGCACCGTCTCCTCTCTCGGTGAGCTGTAACCTAATCACAATTCCCTGCTTTTGCGTGACGAACGTTCAGATCACAATTAGACCCAAGGAGTCATGTTCATTCATTGGTCGTCATGGTTTGCCACCTGGTGCAGTTGGTGTGCAACCCTACCAGCATCCACAATGCCTTGCTTGTGGTTGACAAAAAAGTGCAGACAGACTAGGGGAATGAGGATGACGAGGAACACATAGAGGAAGCTGGGTCGAAGCTCACCCGTAATCTGCAATGGCACGGGCAGGCAGGGAGACAGTTCAATGTGTAATGAGACAATTGAGATAGCCATTGTGAGGATGTGAATGCAAGTTGGCTTGTCTGGTTAGGTGTGGTGTGATGCAGTGAGGGTGCCATGTGGCCACAGCAGGGCAAGGCATGCATACGGAGAGGTGGAGAAGTGGGAAGAAACGAGGAAGGAGAAGTCGGAGGAAGTGGAGGATAAGCACCGGCACTTCGATGGTGACAATGAACGGCCTGATCAGGGAAAGGCGGAGTCGGAGCCATGACGAGCCCTTGTCGCTCACAGAGTAGAGCGCCAAATCAGATGGTTTCTGGAGCGCTTCAGAATTTGTCTCATCTGACAAGACAAGCCAACCCACCTGCACGATGATTGCGACGATGAACGGCCCCAGCCACGACGAGCCCTTGTCGCTTACAGAGTAGAGAGAGAAAAACGCCGCCTCGCGCCCGACCGGAATCATGTCAATGAACAGCGTCTTTGAGTACGCATTCAGCCCGCCGAGAAAAAACCCAAACCAACACGCAAACACAAACAATTCCCAAGGGGCCTTCAGCCCTATGGACTGCGGCGGTGTGAGGTAGCCCAGTAGCCCCCAGAGCGGCAGCGGCAGCATGCCGGCGAGCATAAGCATGACCATGGCTTTGTTTGTGAGCACGGGCTGCATCCAGCGCTGCAGGTAGAATAACAGCGGCGTGCAGAGAGTCGCGGTGACAGACACGCAGATGGCGAGGAAGATGAGGGTTTCCGTGGGCACACAGAGGTCCCTCTCCCCGAAGAGGACCCCGATTTGAAGAATGGTGGTGTAGCCGTCCGCGTAGACGAAGTAGCAGAGCAGAAAGGCGAAGGCCGAGCGGTAGCGGCGCGCTTCGGCGAAGAGTCGGCCCATGTGGCGCCAGCCGGCGAAGGCAGAGGAGAGGGCGGAGGCGAGGCGTGCGGTGAGGTGGGATGCGGTGCGGTGGCATGCGGAGGAGTGGGAGGAGGAGGGGAGCGGGGGTGGAGGGGGGAAGGGTGGGCCGGGGCGGGGGCGGAGCCAGAGGAAGGTGAAGAGGGAGAGGAGGAGCCACCAGAGGGCGCAGGCGAGCAGGGCGAGGCGGAGTTTGAGCAAGTCGGAGGAGACAGGGAGCGTGGCTGCGAAGGCGAGGAGTGTGGCGAGGATGGAGGCGATGCTGGCACACGCCACCCCTGTCAGTGACATGCGGTTCTCCTCCTGGTGGGCAGAGAAGGAGGGGGTGGAAAGAAATGAGGGAGGGAGCTTGAGGGAGTTGGTGGGTTGAGAGAGCAGCATTGTGATGCTGGAACAGGCGACTCCTGCCTGTGAGTGACATGCGTGTGGTTCTCCTCCTGCAGCTGGGGGAGGGGTAGGGGAAGTGGACGGAATGGAGAGAGGGGAAGGGGGGAATAGCAGGAGGGAGAATGTCAATGTGGTGGGAGAAGAGAGGGCACAGTGAGCTGCGCTAGAAAACGTTGCCCCTGCTGCTCTTCCCTCCTGCCTCTGCCACCAGGCGTGAGCTAAAGAGTCAGTTCACACCACCCGACTGTGCAACATAGGTCTTTCGCAACTCTCAGGACGCAGCTAGAAGATTCAGTTCACACCACACCTGGTCCCGGGCGACGAGAAGCGGTGTGAACAGGTCACCCTTATCCGCCCCACACGAGTCCACGGCAACAAATGCCTCGGCACTGCTCTCCACGCCTGCATGTGTGCGCGCCTCTGCTGCCGCCCACGCCTGCTTCCCCATCAACTCCTGCTCTCCCATCCTTTCTTGCTCGGCTTCTTTACCCCCTTGCACTGGTGACCTTTCTGTGGCCTCCTCTGCTTCCCTCTCTGCTGGCCTATCCGCCCCCGCCTCTGTCTCCGCTGCTTTCCCCGCCTCCACCGCACCAGGCATGCTGAGAGCAGCAGCAGGGAGAGAGGCAGCACAGGACAGCTCTGCATGGGCGGACGCTGCGAGCTGCGCTGCGAGGAGCACTGGAGGAGCCGCGTCCACGAGCACAGGCAGGTAGCTGATGAGGGCAGGTGGGGACGGGGGGGTGGGAAGTAGTAGGGATGGGTTGAATGAGGCGCACGTGGCATGCCTGCTTGGGTGTTGACTGCGAGCTGTGCTGCGAAGAGCACTGGAGGAGCTGCATCCACGAGCACAGGCAGGTAGCTGGTGAGGGGTGGTAGGGACAGGACATGGGAGGAGGTGGAGTGGAGGGCAAGAGAGGGAGGCGTGGGGACAAGGAACGGGGTGAATGAGGAGCACCTGCAGCTCTGCTGCTTGGGCGTTTGATGAGTCTTTTTTTGAGTCGACGCAAAGAATAGACTCAGCCCCTGTCGCTGTGCTGTTTGGGCGTTCAGTGCAAGCTGTGTTGCAAGCAGCATCAGAGGAGCCCGGTCCACCAGCTCAGGCAGGTAGCAGGTGGGTGGAAATGGGGAGGGGGAGATGTACTGTGAGTGCACTGGCAGCTGTGAGTGCACTGGCAGCTGTGAGTGCATTGGCAGCTGTGAGTGCACTGGCAGCTGTGAGTGCACTGGCAGCTGTGAGCCAGCAGGCGTTCACCTGTGGGCGAGCAAGTACAGCCATGCGTGCACACTGCACCGACATGTGTGTGTGGAGGTCACACCAGTAGCACTCAACAGCGTGTGGAGGGCAAGTGCTATCTCAGCAGCATTGGCACACGTGTATTAACCACCGATGGTAGCGATGAGGAGCAGCCATGAGAACCAACAGAAGGACCGGGACGGCAGGTAACACTGTGTGTGTGCACTGGCCATACGTGTAGCAGGTAAGGCCATGGCACTGGCGCACGGGTCCCACACACCTGTAGTAGGCGACAATGGCGAGCCCGTAGCCCACATTGGCCGTGATGAGCAGCACCCCCGAGAGCCACCAGAGGGATGGTGACACCAGCGCCATGCACAGTGCACACGCTGTTATGCCCATGGCTGTGCCGCCTTGTAGCAACTGTCAGGGGGGTGAGACCGTGAGGGGGACAGGGAGTGTTGAGTTGACTCAGAAGCCATGCACAGCGCACACGCTGTTATGCCCATGGCTGTGCCGCCCTGTAGCAACTGTCAGGGGGAGCGGGCGGGGAGGATGTGCTGAGTCAACTTGAAAGTATGGCGGTATAGGGAGAGGCGGGATGGGGAGAGGCGGGCACAGAGGAGCAAGGCATGGCATGGCGTGGCGTGGCATGGCATGGCATGGCATGGCATGGCGTGGCATGGCATGGCATGGCATGGCATGCACATGTCATCCAGACCATGGTTCCAGCCCAGCGCATGTCCATCACAAATGCACCTATGATGCGCACATGAGCTTGCTGCGCCCCATCTGTGTACCTTCAACCCGCCCTCATCCCCCACCCACCACCTTGCACCTCCTCATCCCCCACCCACCACCTTGCACCTCCTCATCCCCCACCCACCACCTTGCACCTCCTCATCCCCCACCCACCACCTTGCACCTCCTCATCCCCCACACACCACCTTGCACCTCCTCATCCCCCACCCACCACCTTGCACCTCCTCATCCCCCACCCACCACCTTGCACCTCCTCATCCCCCACCCACCACCTTGCACCTCCTCATCCCCCACCCACCACCTTGCACCTCCTCATCCCCCACCCACCACCTTGCGCCTCCTCATCACCTTGCGAGAACGGTGTGCAACACTGCTTCAAACAGGGTCACACAATGCTTACCTGCATCCTCCACTCGTCCTCCTAGGCCCACCCTCCCATCCGCCCCCCCCCCACACTCCCACCCTCCCATCCGCCCACCCCCACACTCCCACCCTCCCATCCGCCCACCCCCACACTCCCACCCTCCCATCCGCCCACCCCCACACTCCCACCCTCCCATCCGCCCACCCCCACACTCCCACCCTCCCATCCGCCCACCCCCACACTCCCACCCTCCCATCCGCCCCTCCCACACTCCCACCCTCCCATCCGCCCCTCCCACACTCCCACCCTCCCATTCGCCCCTCCCTCATGTCCCACATCCCACATCCCCACTCACCCGCATGCGCCCCATGCCATAGTCAGCGAGGGGCCCGAGGGTGATGAATGCGGCCACCTGGCACACCACCGACAGCCCCAGCGTGACTGTAGCGAATGCCACTGGATCCATGCTCGCCGCCCCCATCTGCACCTTGGGATTTGGCAGCGGCGAGTAGCTGGGGGGAAAACGGGGGATGGGGGGTGGGGGGGAGAGAAGGGGGAAGGGTGACGACGGGCGGGGATTGAGGAAGAGAAGAGCGATGGAAAGCGAGGTGGGAAGAAGGGTGCGGACGGGAGTGGGGAGCGAGGGATGGGGACGGGAGGGAGTGTGGTCGCCGTCCCATGTGGTGTGGGGATGGCGAGCAGCGCATACTATTATGGCATCTCCACCTCCTACCACACTGCCCTCCGCCCCCCCTCCGTCACCGCTCCGTCAACCCTCCGTCACCGCTCCGTCACCCCTCCGTCGACCCTCCGCCACCCCTCCGTCACCCCTCCGTCACCCCTCCGTCACCCCGACGTCACCCCGACGTCATCCCCACGTCACCCCAACAAAGTGCTCCCCCACAAACCTCAATTCCACACGCTGCGTCCCCAATAAGCTCAGCCATCCCACTCGTCCCCATTCCCCCATCTTCCCCTTCCCCCACCAGTAACCCTCTTTCCGCGTTCGCGCCGCCTCCATCCGTCCCCGCGCGTCCGCTCTCTCACCTACCCAGATGACGTCAGCAGCTGCATTCCCTCGCCGGGCACGCACTGCGCGCAATTCACGGTGACGCCGTCGACGCCGCAGTCGGGCGGGCGCGGCTGCCCCGCCTGCTGCCACGCGGCGTCGGCGGCGAGCTGGTTGAGGAGCAGCGGGAAGAACACGGGTAGCGCCACCGAGTAAAACGCGGACACCGCCGCGTCGTACAGATACCACCCCCACTCCTCGCGCCGCGTCACGGGAATTGGAGCGTCAGCGCCATCCGCGGCGGCGGCGGTGGCGAGCATTCCTTCGTCCGCCGCTTCGTGATCGTATTGCGAATTATGATCGTTTCTTTGTGGCTCGGCACGCGACGTAGCCATTCGCTCACGATGCTTTTTCTGAGTTGTTTCGGTAATCGCTCCAGGTGCCGCTCAGGACGCAGCGCGGCGCGGCTTGCCGCTGCTGGTGGGCGCGTCTCCTCTGGCGGCGGAGGCGGAGAGACGGAGGAGCTACGAGATTGAAGAAGCGGCGTCAGGGGGAAACGAGCGGGGTTTGCGGAGGAGGCGGAGGCGGAATTCTGCGCGGAATGGCTTCTGCGACGCCTCATGCTCAGCTCATCTGGAGAAATTCGCTGGAGGCAAAACTAAGGCAGAGGAGGGGAGAGTGTCAGTCGGTAGGATTGGCTGGGAGAGTTCCGAGCGAGTTCGGTCGGTGTTTGTGACGGTGGAGTTGGGTGGAATTGAGCCGCGACGCATCTGATTGTGAATCGGATCGGGCGGGGTTCTGATTCTGAAGAGTGAAACATGCGCGCGCGGAATGCTGCAGAGAACGGACGACACAGCGTATAAGAAGAAGGTTCGGTTCGGTCGGTGGGGTTGCAGACAACGATGAGAGTGGTGGGGAGAGGAGGAAAAGGGAAGGGGAAGAGGAGGGGGAGTAAGCAGGGTGGAGTGGTGGTCTTGCGGTGACAGGCAGCAGGGGAGGAAGGGAAGGAAAACGAAGGTGTGTGGTGGTTTTTGTCGTTGAGCGGAACAACGGTGGCCTTTGGGGGGAACAGAATGCTGCGTTGAAAAATATCGTTGATCGCAGCTGTTGTGTTGCGATGCGAACGAACACAGCCGCGAATTGGTCGCGCACAAACAGTACAGCGTGTCAGTGCCCCCCAAGCAGGAGAGCGATCGATGAAGACGAGGCGATGCAAAGGACTCCTTACTGGTCGATACCTTACCCCTTATAAGAAACTCACTGCTCAAATATCGCTAGATTCGCAGAGTTGTGAAATGGAAGAAATTACAGTCAATGGGCACTGATCACTAGTTCCGATGCTGTGCTGCATACAGATATTATACACCATGCACCTGAAGCTATTCGTTGATATCACTTTAAAGAAAAACTCAAACCATGTTTGCTGATCATGCACAACATCAAAACCCTAGTAGTTTTTTGGAGTTTGGTAATAGGAAATGAAGGGAAGACCTGTGGAATTTCCGTGCAAACAAAAAGCAGTTGCGTGGCTTCCCTCGTAGGACACAATACCCGTTTTGAATTGTCTGTCATGGGGATCATTGTGGATAGGGGAAGGGGGTGTTATTGAACATTGTTATGGATGATAAGCAGGGCTCTTGCTAGGATCTGAGGGCGTCTGATTCTGTCAGACGGGTCCCCCCAGGCAAAACAATTGTTTTGTCTGATCTAGATTGGAAAATCAGATGGATATAAAGAATGAGTCTGAAAATCAGACCATCAGACCAAAATGGTCTGATAACGAGAGCCCTGATGATAAGAAGCTTATGCAAGAACCGCCTTGCATTCAACAACAAACACTTCCAAACCTATGTCTGGATAGCGAATTTGCAAAGTGGCACTCACCTTTGGGGGTTGTGGTACTGAATAGTTATATATCTGCAAGTAATAAGAGGTGAACACACAAACATGTTAACATCTGTTTCTTCACATTAGCAATCTTATTTTCTCCACAAACGGTATGGCATCCAGGCCATGAAGGTGCAAAGAGGTGTGCTGACAGCATGTAAATGCAAGCAAATCAGGTTGGGTTGAAGTCACTGCTGTGCACCAATCGCAACTCAAGTGTACTGATTACAACTCACGTAAGTGAAGTTACTCTTGAACTCCCGCCAGAAGGACCGAAATTGGATGTATTGTTGTGTTGTCTGTCGTGGGCAGTGGGGATGCAACAAGGGATGGGACCGAGAGGAAGGATTGAGAGGAGTAAATGGAGTGAAAAAACACCATAAACAGTTGAGAAATTAAGGCTCGTGACGGAAGTATCAGCAATGCTCTACCCTTCTAAGAGGCATGGAAGGTGGGAGAGTGAGGGAAAAGGGGCATAGGTGATCTGTGTGGAGGGAGCAATGCACTGGGGTTTGGTGGGTGTGGAACATTGTGGGCTTTAACTAGATGGTACGACAACCTACCTTTGTGCAGTGGCAGCACGGGAGGATTACGCAAGCACAAGGTTTCACTGGTACGATCCAAGTATTTTTAGGGTTTAGGGTGCACCTACCTTCATGTAATTGATCATTTTGGCAGTGATGTTCTGGCGGTGGTACAGCATGGGATGGTACTGGTTGAGCCGCCAGTCCGTGAAGGTGGTGGGGTAGTGCGATATGCCTTGGCGGTCCTTTACCTGGAGGCACATGTTGAGGGGCATACCGGGGCACGAAGGAGGGGAGACACATAGTGTGAGGCGCGCATGGGGCAAGCGGAAGCATATTGGCGGTGGTGTTCTGGCGATGGTACAGCATGTGCTGGTACTGGCTCAGCGGCCACGTGAAGGTGGTGGGGTAGTGCGATATGGAGCTCCAGTCCTTAGTCTGTCGTCCCATGTGTAGGGGGACAACACCTTGCAGAGGCACAGGGGAGGGGAAACTGGTAGTCTAAGGACAGCATGGGGCAAGGAAAGGAGATACAGACACACTCACACACACTCACATGCAGCAGCTGAATTTGAAATAGTCACACTCATACGCAGCAGCTGATTTAGAAATAGTCACACTCATACGCAGCAGCTGATTTTGAAATAGTCACACTCATACGCAGCAGCTGATTTCGAAATAGTCACACTCACATGCAGCAGCGTCTGAATGTAATGCTCATCAGCACAGCAGTAGCGCCCCCACTGCATCCGAAACTGCAAGCAAGCAGGGTGTGGAAGGCAAGGCAGGGTGTTTTAGGAAATGTAAGCACACTCAGAGTACAGCGATTAGAGATCCTGGATAAATGGCATGCACGTGTACGTGGGATTCTGGGCTAATGTGTGGGCGTTGGGTAATGCTGAGTTCATGGTTAGGGTCATGTGTGGTTTAGCAGAAGTGTGCTTTGCAGGACGGCTGTCGAGAAGAGCGTACATGCTTTAATTCACAATCTCAGCTACGAGATGTTTAGGAGTGAATTGGTGCTCTCATGCCTCACAAACCCCTCGTGCTCTCATGCCTCACAAACCCCTCGTGCTCTCATGCCTCACAAACCCCTCGTGCTCTCATGCCTCACAAACCTCCCCACAGCAACGCATTACATGACAGCAGACTCACAGCGCATGTGCGGTTTTGCATGCGGTAGTGATCCGTGTCCGCCACCACCCCACACCATCACACCACACCATCACACCACAACACACCACACCACACCACAGCATAGCAGCACATGACTCACAGAGCACGTGCGGTTGTGCACATCGTCGTGCTCCTTGTCCGCCACCACACCACACCACACAGCACCGCTCACCACACCACACAGCAGGCTCTCACTCACAGAGCACGTGCGGTTGTGCACATCGTAGTGCTCCTTGTCCGCCACCACACCACACCACACAGCACCGCTCACCACACCACACAGCAGGCTCTCACTCACAGAGCATGAGCGGTTGTGCACATCATAGTGCTCCTTGTCCGCCACCACACCACACCACACAGCACCGCTCACCACACCACACAGCGGGCTCTCACTCACAGAGCACGTGCGGTTGTGCACATTGTAGTGCTCCTTGTCCGCCACCACACCACACCACACAGCACCGCTCACCACACCACACAGCGGGCTCTCACTCACAGAGCATGTGCGGTTGTGCACATCGTAGTGCTCCTTGTCCGCCACCACACCACACCACACAGCACCGCTCACCACACCACACAGCGGGCTCTCACTCACAGAGCATGTGTGGTTGTGCACATCGTAGTGCTCCTTGTCCGCCACCACACCACACCACACAGCACCGCTCACCACACCACACAGCGGGCTCTCACTCACAGAGCATGTGCGGTTGTGCACATCGTAGTGCTCCTTGTCCGCCACCACACCACACCACACAGCACCGCTCACCACACCACACAGCGGGCTCTCACTCACAGAGCACGTGCGGTTGTGCACATCATAGTGCTCCTTGTCCGCCACCACACCACACCACACAGCACCGCTCACCAGACCACACAGCGGGCTCTCACTCACAGAGCATGTGCGGTTGTGCACATCGTAGTGCTCCTTGTCCGCCACCACACCACACCACACAGCACCGCTCACCACACCACACAGCGGGCTCTCACTCACAGAGCACGTGCGGTTGTGCACATCATAGTGCTCCTTGTCCGCCACCACACCACACCACACAGCACCGCTCACCAGACCACACAGCGGGCTCTCACTCACAGAGCACGTGCGGTTGTGCACATCGTAGTGCTCCTTGTCCGCCACCACCATCTGTGCATGTCGCCGCTGCAGTATGAACCACTGCGAGGGGGGGAGGGCGCAGTCACAAGGGAGAAGGTGCAGTCACAAGGGAGAAGGTGCAGTCACAAGGGAGAAGGTGCAGTCACAAGGGAGAAGGTGCAGTCACAAGGGAGAAGGTGCAGTCACAAGGGAGAAGGTGCAGTCACAAGGGAGAAGGTGCAGTCACAAGGGAGAAGGTGCAGTCACAAGGGAGAAGGTGCAGTCACAAGGGAGAAGGTGCAGTCACAAGGGAGAAGGTGCAGTCACAAGGGAGAAGGTGCAGTCACAAGGGAGAAGGTGCAGTCACAAGGGAGAAGGTGCAGTCACAAGGGAGAAGGTGCAGTCACAAGGGAGAAGGTGCAGTCACAAGGGAGAAGGTGCAGTCACAAGGGAGAAGGTGCAGTCACAAGGGAGAAGGTGCAGTCACAAGGGAGAAGGTGCAGTCACAAGGGAGAAGGTGCAGTCACAAGGGAGAAGGTGCAGTCACAAGGGAGAAGGTGCAGTCACAAGGGAGAAGGTGCAGTCACAAGGGAGAAGGTGCAGTCACAAGGGAGAAGGTGCAGTCACAAGGGAGAAGGTGCAG